GGGGGGGGGGGGGGGGGGGGGAGGACAGAGGGGTAAAGAGACAGAGAGACAGAGAGACATAGATACACAAACACTAAGATACACAGACACACAGACACTAAGATACACAGACACACAAACACTAAGACACACAGACACACAGACACACAGACACACAGACACACAGACAACAAGGACGCACATTGCTGGAAAGCGAGATGTTCGGATCATTGTCAAACCCCCACCCTCGCCGGCGGAGAGCACTCTTCCAGACGCTCGGCGAGTACCAAGACATGACGCGCGCCTGGGAGGAACGGGCCTAAGAAGGAGATCCCGGGGGGGGGGGGGGGGATCGGCGCGGCTCGGCGCGACCGTGACGCAGCGGCCTCCGCGGCGCCGGGACAAGGCCAAGACAGGGACGAGCCCAGGAAGGGGAAGGGGAGGCGAGCAGGGGAAAGGCGCGAAGCAGCAGCGGAAAGCTCGAAACAGCGATGGCAGCGGCAGTACAGTAGGAGGGGAGGAGTCTGCACGGCCGCCGGATCACGGCCGGCACCGGGGTACCCCCACAAGGGGACACCGGGCCGCAGGCAAAGGCCCGGAAGTCCCCAGCGAGCCGGGGCACTCCGGCACACATGCGCGCGCCCCCGCAGGTCGGGCGGCCACCCCCCGCCCCCCCCCCCCCCCCCCCCTGCCCCCCGCGGACCGAGCCGCCACGCCAGGGGGCGCCAGCGCCCAAAAACACAACAACAACAACAACAACAACACCAACAATCCAGCCCCCATCCGCGGCCAGAACATGCGGCCAGCCTTCTTATTTCTCCCAGCCTCCTCGCACGGGCGACCGGCCCGCTTTCAACGCGGTGCTCCAAAAAAAGGCCTTTAAATATTAAAATAGACATCCCCACACAGGGACACATTGCACCGCGTCCCCGCCGCGGCTCCCCCTACCCCCCCGATCAACAACACAGTACAGCGCAAGAAGGCGAGCGAGGGCATGACCCCTGCTGCCATCGGACCCCGCTGCCGGCCGGCCTGAGGAAACAACAAAAAGAGCCCAAGCCCCTCTCACGTTTCTCGGAGTGTATTTTTTCGTCGAGCCGCTCTGCTCCCCCCCGGCCCGGGGGCGGGGGAACGCGCACGCACACACATACGGCCCACGCATCGCGGCAGGCACGCGCCAACACCCCCCCCCCCCCCCCGTCGGGGAGAGTCGGGCCAAGTCAGGGGCGGAGGCATGCGCGGACAAAAGAGCGCAGCCGGGAGAGAAGCCGGTCAGCCCGGCCCCGGCCCCCGCGCGCGGCGCACGAATACCGCGAGCGGGGGCTTCTCCCCGTTCCCCCCCCCCCCGAGGGGCAGCCGGCCGCCGGATCATGCGGCCGGGACCGACCATTGGCACATGATCAGTCCCGCTTGTCGATCGCGGCCCGCTCGCTGGCCTCCATGGCCGCGGCGAGCCCCGGCGCCGGGGCCTGGCCCAGGATCATGACCACCACCAGGGCGACATGGGCCGCGAAGAGCAGCGCCCCGCCGATCCACAGGCGCTCGAAGGTCGGCTGGCCGAGGAACTCCAGTTCGTAGGCGGCCGCCAGCCACACCCCCTGGCTGGCCAGCCAGAACCCCAGCACCGGCAGGCCGACGGCCAGCGGGCGCCGGCGCAGGCCCGCCGCAAAGGGCAGCACCAGCGGCAGGAGCGTCAAGTACCACATGAAGTACTGGCGGCGGGGGGTGGCCACATGTCAGTCGATGGGGGCGGCCGTGTGTGCCCATGCGCCCTGCCGGTGGCATGGCGGGCAGGCCAGTGGCTTCCCCGCCCCGTGTCCCCCTCTGCCCCCGCGCCCTGGTCCGTGTGCGCGCACCTGCGAGGTGATGACCTTGTTGAAGGCCACGAAGACCACCGTCTGCAGGAAGAGGCAGAACACGATGTCCTGGTGGAAGGCCGCCACGATGGTCCCGAGGGCCACCAGCTGCGGCACGAAAGCCAGCAGCCCATACACCGAGGAGCTGGCCACATTGCCGATGGTCTGATACAGGAAGTAGTAGTACAGGGAGAAGTTGTGCCGATGGTCGCGCCGGGTCAGGTGGTACAGCAGCGAGTCGTGCAGGAACTGATACCCATAGCTGGTGGTCGGCAAGAAAAGAGGACAGCCGTGTGGGGAAAGGGTGTCAGAGAGGGGGAGAGAGAGGGAGAGAGAG